GGACCCGCCAAACAACAATGACGGCTGCAACCAAAAAATAGCTGGGCGTTGTGGCGGGCGCCTGTAGTCCCAGCTACTTGGGAGGCTGGGGCAGAAGAATCACTTGAGCCCAGGAGTTGGAGGTTGCTGTGAGCTGTGATGCCATGGCACTCTACCCAGGGCAACAGCTTGAGGCTTTGTCTCAAAAAAAAAAAGACTATATGAGCTATAATTAAGTCCTTGCTAGGCTAAGGGATTTATCTGGGGAGCAGCAAATGACAGCTTTTTTTGCCCTTTCTGACATCCTACTTAGTTGGGCATGAGTCTTTCAGATCATCAACTCAGCTTTCAACCCCCCTCCCATGCCTCCTAAAACAGCGTTCTTTCTAACCATGGACCCCAGGAATACTGGCCATATTTGCTTAAACCTGGAACAGGTATGTGGGGAAGGATGGGAGGGGATCTCTTCTCCCCCCAGCATCCCATCACAGTGCACCCTTCCTGCCTTCTAATCTGTTTCCTCTCTGCACAGTGGCTGGAGATCACCATGTGGGGATAGAGGTGCTGCGGGAGCCCCCACCTATCTCCAGGAGCAGGGGTTCTGGCCAAGGAGGGCCTTAGGTCTCTGTCGATGGAATGGACCCCAGATGGCAGTGCCTGGGCCCCAGCTGTTGCATCTGCTTCAGCACTGGGACCTCCGTGCCCACCCTCCCAGCCCAAAGGGCTTCTCCTTTCCCCCAGCCAGGCTTCTGATGGCTGGATTTTTCATAGTCTCTCCCTCTCTCTGAGTGTATTTTACTGAAGTGTAAGTGATGCTTCCCCAGTACGCCCTGGCTGGGGAGGCCCTCAAATAGGCAAGGGGCTTGTAGCCCACTTCATACCCTCACCTTCCTACTGACCACCCCTCCTGGTATAGCCTCTCTCTTCTCCCTCTCCCTATGGACATTATAATAAACAGCATATGTTGCTGACCTTCAAGTCTCTGTGTTTCTGTGCCAGGAAAAGACTGAAGGATGTGGAAGTCAACATCCTTCCACACCAAAGGGAACCAGGCAGCTCTCAGCTGGGGGCGATAGGGGTTGGTTATCAGTTACTGGCAGAGAATGGTAAGTGCACAGCAGTCCTCTGGGAGGAGCTGTGCAGTGCCCAGCATGCAGAGCAGCATCTGAGGAGCTGAACTGGGGCTGGCAAATCAGGGGCTACAGACCCTCTTCACCTGGTCCCTCAAATTTGGAGCCCCAGGCCAGGCGCAGTGGCTTACTGCCTGTAATCCCAGCACTCTGGGAGTCTGAGGCTGTGGATCGCTTGAGTTCACGAATTCAAGATCAGCCTGAGCAAGAGTGAGAACTCTATCTCTCTCTCTTTTTTTTTCTTTTTTTTGAGACAGAGCTTCAAGCTGTCCCCCTGGGCAGAGTGCCGTGGTATTACAGCTCAAAGCAACCTCCAACTCCTGGGCTCAAGCAAGTCTCCTGCCTCTGCCTCCCAAGTAGC